CTTAAAGAAGAATGAGAACTGTTTCCTAAGTGTGGTAATCTTGTCACCCGACCTCACTGCAATGTTGATAGCTCGTCTTAGCGTGGACAATATCAGGAGAGTCGGCCACTGAGGTGAACTTCAGACGGTCAGGCAGCTGACGATACTTCTTCTACATAGAGGATGACAACGCAAACTTTAACAGTTCAAAATCTACTGTAGACTTCAAATAAATTCCTTTTACAGAGAAATGTACAATAAGCTTTGTTAAATTAACTGTCATGAGACAAATGTACAGTGAATGGTCGGTGGAAAATATAGCTGCAATGATAAAATTTCCAACAAAATTGGGTTATAAGAGTCAAACACACTTTAAAAGACCAATGCTGCGTTGACAAATATGGAGCAATAAAATACAAATCTAAACACGATCGTTTTTTTGGACGACTGAACATAAAACGGTTTAAATGCAGGATGTGACTTCATATGCAATCAGAACCGCAGCTACTACCATTTTAATTTATTTTATTATGTTTTGTGAATTGAACCTAATATTATGAAAGTATTTTCAACATCCTGGCTACATTTCTGCATGCATTAACAGATGTGTGTTTTTAACTAATACGATTCTCCCATATACTCACATCACTTATAAGCTCTCCAGCCTTCTTGGCTGACTCCAGCTGAGGTGCACCTACTCCGTCCCAGGCCACTCCTTTCATGAAGTTGAGGTCTGACTTGTACAGTTTCTAAAGATAAGGCAGGAAAATATGTCAGTACAGCTTTCCTTGTTAGTGCTGTCTCTGATCTTTTCTCTGTATCTCATCCTCTCACCTCACTCTGCAGGTCATAAGCTTTTCTGGCCCACTTGACCTTCATGTCATCAGGCAGCACTGTGTACTCATGCAGTCTTTTCCTGTAGTCCTGCTCGCTGGCCAGGGCCTGGGCATTCTTAGCTGTCACCAGATGAATCATGTCTGATGTCAGGTGATACTGCCCGCTGGTAGCCAGCATGTCCTTGCGATACACCTGGTCGCTGGCCAGCCGACCTGCCTGCGCACAGTGCAGGAGATACGGGTCGTCCAAAACGCTTCCCACGCCAATGTGCTTTCCTTTCTCCAGAAGGTGGTTGTGCTTATACTTGTACTGCAGAGAGGCAGAAATAACAGCTATAGTTGATCACATTTCAACATTAAACTGTGGCTCGATGTAAGGCCAATAAAAAGCACTACATAGGAGGAAAACTCTATAAGCAGCATTTTACATTTCCATGTAAATCTTGTACACTATCCTTGTAATAAGTCCTTCTTTTCTCAGGTTGAGAATGCACATTAGTCACACTATGGAAATTTTAAAAGTCTGTTTGCTGTAGTGCAGTATTATAGGCATATTATTGTCTGTTTTTAGGTGGATATTTTTGACAAATATCACTCTACAGTTTATTAGACTTTTATGGTTTTCCCTTCAGAAATAATGTTTTTAGTCCAGCAGAATCTTACATCACTGGCGATGCCTGTGGAGCTCTTGGCAGCCTGGAAGGGGATGTCCTGCATGGTGAGCTTGTAGCCCTGAGCTGTTAGGGTGTGCCAGGACTCTCTGTACTTGATCTGGAGAAGAAAGACAAAGAACAAATTGTCATTATTCTTGAAGTAACAGACAGAATCCAGAAGAGGTAACAGATGTTTACAGTGAATTGTTTGGTGCACAGATCACAGGAACTAATAGTACCTCACTAAAGTTGGCTGCATTAATCTTGGCTTGTGTAATCTCGGGTCTGTCAGTTGTTATGGTGTAGCTGTGTTGGTCGTTCACCCCTTTCTCTTTGTACAAACGCTGGGGGAGAGAAAGACAACACACATTTCATCTTCAAGTATTTCCAAATGTGAATCACCGAGACTACTGGATGTGTTTGGCTTCCGTGTCTCTTATAGTCCCGATGTCTACCAATCACACAGAGAAATGTACACAACTGAGCCCAGCAGCTGGAACAGAACATAAAAACGGTCAACTTATTGTCTCACTTCATTGGCGATCTGTCCGCTGAATTTGGCATGGATGATATCTGGAGAGTCAGTGACAGAGGTGTGCTTGAAGTTGTACGGCTGCTGACGGTACTTTTTCTGTTGGACAACAAGAAAACGAGAGCTGGTACATTTCAGAGTCAATATTTACATTCTTAAAGAAATCTACAGAATATATAAATGAAAAAAGAAAAGAAAATTTTAAGATAAATGTCTGACATCACTGATGAGGTCTGTGGCCCTCTTGGAGCCTTCAATCTGCAGAGCCCCAGTGGCAATCCAGGCTGCACCTCGGAGGTAGTTCAGGTCAGAGCGATATACTTTCTGTGACAAACACACAGATGAAAAAACACTTAAGAAATTTTTTTTCCATACACCCAGTTGCAGTAATTGCTTCTAAAGCTAATAACTAAGTAATAAACAGACCAAAACTAGGTATGCAAACATTTACTAATGTGAAATACTATAATACTAAAAGCTTTGACAGTCAATTAATCCTTTCAGACTTTGTGCTGATTGAAAACTTGTATGTGCTGGTTAAAAAATTTAAAAACCTCACAAAAACCTTTAAACATGTATGTATGTATGTGATATCCAACCAATCAAACATTTTATACAAGTTTATTAGTTCTTAACTTATTGTAGCAACATAAAGAATTGAAAGGTGCTCTTTTTTTCAGCCCACACCCTTCTCTTCTAATTAAAGCAGTAATTATAACAGAGGCTGTCTGCAGCAGTCCAGTCGCCTAGTCACCTCGCTCTGCAGGGCGTACGCCCTCTTGGCTGCCTGCAGCTTCATGTCATCTGGCAGTGAGGTGTACTGGTGCAGGATGAGCCTGTAGTCCTGATCGCTAACCAGCGACTGGGCCTTTTTAGCGTGGGCAACCTCTATCATGTCCATGGGAAGGTGGAACTTTGAATGCTCCCTCACTGAATCTTGCTTGTACTTAATCTGGAGAGGGAAAAAGTGATTAAAGAGAAGGTGTAATATACAGTAGTATAATGCTGTTTTGGTCAGCTACTGTAAATTAGAGTAAAGAAGCACTCACATCACTCTGGAGCCTGCTGGCATGAACGGAGTGAGCAATGTTCAAGTCGTCCTGCAGTCCCCTCAGTCCAATCATCTTCCCTTTAGTCTTCTCAAATTTTTCTTTGTACTTTTGCTGAAAGGCAAATCATTCACTTTCAGGAAGCTGTAATGTACTGATGAAAGATCTTGTGGAAAATTTTCTCAGACACTCAGAATCTAACTGTTGCAGAAATCTCTACTCTTGTTGAAAAGAGTCAGGCAGTTTAAACATGAGTGTGTTACAAACATTTTTTTAAGCCATGGTGATATTAAACAACTGAATACAATCTTACATCACTGAGGATCTCTGTAGAAGCTTTGGCGGACTGGAAAGGAATGGCATCCAGACTCAGTTTGTAACCACCATCGCGTATCTTAGACCAAGACTCCTTGTAACGGTTCTGAAAATGCACACCGCGGATTTAAAATCTCTGAGCCACATGCTATACCTCACGCAAAAGCAGCTAATTCGATGGATGGATTGTCTGTTCAATGCATTTCATGTGTTAGTCCCTGTAAGTGTCTTTTTACCTCGCTGATGTTCATGGCATTGAGCTTGGCCTGCACCAACTCAGGCAGCTCTTCACTGAGTGTGTAGCTGTGCTTCATGTTTTCACCCTTCTCTCTGTACAGCCTCTGTCAAGGAGAAAGCAAGGCATCACTGATCTGTAACCCAGTCTGCATGATAGTATAAACTTCCTCTGTCTATTTATATACTTCCTAATTTCAGTAATAATGTGAGGCCATCAGAACTGCAGCTAAGACATGCTTTGGTACAGCCACCAAGTATACTTAAGATGATGGAAATCATAATAGTCAAAGGTGAAACAAATATGTATGTGTCAGTTTTTAGTTGCATATCTTATCCATTAAATAAATGATTAAGAGTATGATTGGCAGCTCAACTTACATCAATGGCAAGTTTGTTGCTGAGTTTGGCTTGGACCATCTCTGGACTGTCTTCAACACTGGTAAACTTCAAAGCGCTCACATCCTGACGGTACTTTTTCTGGAGATAAAAACAGCAAAGTGATCAGTTCCAAAAGATTGTCATAGTGATGAAGATGAAGCCATAAAAAAAAAAAAACGAGTGCACATGCATTTGATGAACAGTAGAGGGCACAACACTATCACAAACATCTGTCCTGACAAATACACTATGTGGCATCTAAAAAACAAAAGGGACACTAAACAGATTTCAATTTGTTTTTTAATGTAGATAAATAGAGCCCTGTTCAGGCTCTGTTCTATTTGTGTTCAGTCTGTCATTTCATGGTTTAATGACAGTAAGCCTGAGTGGAATGACCCTTAAAAAGTGGCAGTTCATGAAGACGTTATTAACTGGTGCATGCCAGTCTGCACTAGATGTGTCTCTGAAATATCAGAGGTCACGTTACACAATCATGCTCGCTGTGCTAATTTACCTACATAGCTGCATTAGTAGATAATAGCACATTAGAGTCGTTAATCATGCGCTGCATGTATAAGTGGCCTAAATTACATTTGACTCCCAATATAATTACCATAAAGGAGAGAAAAGTTAATGAAGGTCAAGGACAGAAACACTTCTGTCTGTAGCTGTGTGTTAGCATTTAACCATATACATAGGTATAGACCTTTCACTTTTTAATTTGATATGATCAACCATTTCATCCCTTAACTTTGATTTCAGCAATGAATTCTGGGACACCGAGTTACCTCGCTGACAAGCTCTCCGGCTTTCTTCGCCTGTTGGACATCCAGAGATTTTGAGGCCTCCCAGCTGACCCCCTTCATCCAGTTCAGATCTGACCTATACCTGACCTGTACACACATTTCAATTTGAAATGCCAAATTCTGCAGTCCTCTAGTTAATGAACTAGTTGTTATATGAATGTCTAACAATAACACTTACATCACTCTGTAGTCCATAGGCCTTCTTAGCCCAGGCGACCTTCATGTCAGTTGGCAGTGTGGTATACTCATGGAGATAAGTTCTGTAGTTTATGTCTGTTGCCAGGTCTTGAGCTTTCTTGGCATGGCTGATGTTCAGCATATCCAGAGATACACTGGAGAAAAGATTAATTTCATCCAGTAAGTGAGGAGCTGTGTTTCAAAATGACACAGCATTAAAGGATAGACGTCTTGGTATTAGGCTGAAGCCGTGTTCTTTGGTTATTGGGGTCACTCCTACTTAAACAGAAGGATACAAAAACACTCCATCCCGGTGTGGACTTATAGCTTGTGTGCTCTTTAGTCAGTACATGACTATTTTGTCTGTGCCTCTATAACCTTTTGAAATGTTGATACTTTTTTAAACATTTGTACTTATTTCACTAGAGGTCAAAGACAAAGCGGGGACAGAAAGTGAAGGGACTCTAATTACAAATCCACTCAGCTAAATGGATTTAGCATGAGCTGTTACAAATTAATTCCAAAGGATGATATGGATTTAAAATGTGATAAGGACATAGGTGAAATCAGTAGGCACATGCAAATGTTGGACAGCACCTATCTGCACTGACATTAAAACTTAAAGCCGCAGTGATCAGGGTCAAGATCCTCACCTGTATTTGGTCTTTGTGTCCTCATAGTTCTTCTTGTAGTACAGGTCACTCTGTAGTTTGGTGGCAAGTGCAGAGTGAGCCATCTGTGAGTCGTCACTGACTGACTTAATACCAATCACCTTGCCTTTGTTTTTCTCATAGCTCTCCTTGTATTTGACCTGCAAGGGGATAAGATATCAGCAGTGTTACCAAAAAGCAAGTCTATGAATTACACAGAATTTATTACTTCATTTTTATCTAACTTTAACTCACGTCACTGGCCAGGTCTGTCTTAGCTTTGGCGCTGAGTATAGAGAGAGAGTCCAGTCGCAGCTCGAAGCCCTTTTCCCTCTGTTTCTCCCAGGACCTCTTGTAAACTTTCTGAAAAACATCACATTTATGAAAGCATAAAGGTCAGAAAACTTATTCCAACAATACCTTTTGTAAGTGTACTACAAATTTTGCTTCAGTAATTATAAAAACAAAAGTAAGAAGCAACAATAACAAAGAAAAAGGTAATATACAAATAAATATGATGAGAGTTCTTTCTTTGATTAAATTTAGATGCCAATGCTGGTTTTAAGTGTTTTACTTTTAAGTAATCCTCTCTACAGAAGAACAGTGCAATTAAAAGATAAGATCTTCCTCTTTTTTGAAGAGGGGGTGAATGCAATGCATTTCCGTACATCTCCAGCTCGCACACAAGAAAGAAAGTGTCATGTTGAAAATGTGCATATATGTGTGTGTGTGTGTGTATGGAAACATTTGAATTAAATTTCTTTAATACTTCCCACCCAGAATAATCAGTCTGAAATGAGAAGTTTATTTATACTGTAGGACTTAATTAGAAGTCACCAAAAAGGTGGAGCTGTCTTGCTTTAATACGATACATTATGAAGCTTTGTCATGTGCCAGTGTTGCCTCATATTACTCTCACTTCTTGTTTAGTGAACCTACCGCACTGAGAAGGTCAGCATTAGCCTTGGCCTGTCTGAAAAGAGGTTCATCCTTTGACATGGTGTACTGGTGTAATATCTGATCTCTACTTGCTTTGTAAGCCAGCTGGAAACAGATGTAGATAAACATACACTGAGAAAGAGCTGCACAGTTAAATGTACATGATTACAGCTTTAGAGTAGAGACCGTACATCACTCTGCAGTTCCTGGCTCTTTTTGGCGTGTTTGGTGGAGAGATCGTCCGCCACCTGGGTGAACTTGATGCTGTCTGCCTTCTGACGGTACTTTGTCTGAAAAAATAAATGAGCAAACAGTGATTTCTGATACAAATCTCCTTGTCAAACAAAGACATGAAGAATCATACACAACTTTACTGACATCACTGAGCAGGTCTCCAGCTTTCTTGGCCTGGGTTATGTTCAGGCATCCTTCAGCCTCCCAGCCCACTCCTCTCATCCAGTTCAGGTCTGAGCGATACTGGTGCTGTGGTGCAGCCAAAAGTGTTTTTAATGAGGAAAGATTCAAAAGCAGCA